TATATATATATATATATTTGCCTATTATTTAAGAGCGTCTAAAATAAGGTAATATGACCAGCATATTTCACACGGGAATCAGACTCTTTAACCGAGAAATAAGGGAATATGACGTGCATTACAGCTACATATCACTGCAACCTTTTGGGAAGTTTTGGCCAACCAAATCGTCCGAATGTTCCAATTTTTGAAGGAACTTCTAATCACAATACATATCTTTAAGACAAACAACATCCAACTTGAGACTTCTAGAGAATCATTTGGCTAGTTTAGGAGGAGTCTATGAATTTTAGATTGTTTATTATCTGCAAAAAAAAAAAAATCACATAATATGATAGTCAAGTAGTCAGTTCAATTTAAACGTTCATAATTACGAGTTACAAGGAACCCTAAGTTAGCATATCTGTCAAGATAAAGTGGAATTCCTCTGATTCAAAGAGGTGATGATAAGTCGATAAGTCTATCTCAGATTACATGGAACTCCCCGGTTTTCATCTAAAGCAAGTCGTATTTAAGCCAACCAAACATGAGAAAATTAATACTACTTATTTTCATTTTATCCTTGAGCCGAGGGACTCTAGAAACTGTCTATCTTCACAGGTAGGGATAAGGTACATATTACCCTCCACAGACCCCACTTGTGGAACTATACTGGGTATGTTATTGTAGTAAACACGGGAAAATTGGAAAAAAATTCCACCCTAAGATTTTTATAGTTTTAATTGCAAACATGATGAAATTTTTCGGGAAACATGTGCATGCTGTGATGCTGAGATGATATAAAACTTATTTTTGTTCTCTGCTTTTCCTTTTGTGGCTCCTTCGGGAAAAAAGATTTCTTTCCGCACAGCAATCAGTTTCTGTGCCCATAAAAAGACAACTATCAGATATTATATCACTCAGTGTTTCCACAATATCAGCATTACTAAATTCAAACCTCACAAAGAAATTTTGAAAGACATACCTTAATCAGCACTATGTGTCTCACTGTCGGCGCCAATATAAACATTTTTTTGATCTTTGATCAGCTGCAGTTTCTCAATCTCCTCATCTTTCTGAGATATCGTATCCTTAAGAGAGACAACCTGGAAGATCAAAAATTACAAGAGACTCCAATTCACACCCTACAAAGTAAAGTTAGTCTGCATATCATGTCTCTCATTTTTCTTGCAAACGCAAAACCAAATGGATAGGCATAACATATAGGAGAATAGAGCTGCATAACTCATACGTCGATTGGCTTGTTTTCTCAGCCTTAACCATTTAGGTAATATGATGGAGCATAAAATAGTTTTTCATTTCTAGCACAGAAATTGAAAATATTTAATAAGTATTTCAAGTTAAAAGAATACCTGCTCCATTAAATCTCTTACATCTCTGCCCTCTTTACTACTTCGAGCAGCACCTAACTCTACTCCAGATACTCTTTCAGCAAATTTTAACGTGCTCATGGTTTCTGAATATGAACCAACTTCAGGATTTAACTGCACAAACATAAGTGTCTTGGCTTGGCCACCTGTACAATAAAATCAAATAATAAGTGTGCAACCGCCGAGCACATTAAGTTGCTGCCATGTGACCAGGAGGTCACAAGTTAGAGCCGTGGAAACAGCCTCTTGCAGAAATGCAGGGTAAGGCTGCGTACAATAGACCCTTGTGGTCCGGTCTTTCCCCGAACCCTACTCATAACAGGATCTTAGTGCATCGGGCTGCTCTTAACAGCCAAGGACATCAAGTTGTTGCCATGTGACCAGGATGTCATGGGTTCGAGTCGTGCAAACAGCCTCTTGCAAAAATGCAGGGTAAGACTGCGTATAATAGACCCTTGTGATCCGGCCCTTCCCCCGACCCTGTGCATAGCGGGAAATTAATGCACCGGACTGCCCTTAACAGCCGAGCACATTAACTGTTGAAATATCTCCAATACTACTTGCTTACAATTCATAAGTACCTAATGAAGTCTGAAGGAGTTGAGTCAGCTTGCTGTTTCTGTAAGGGACATGAGCATTTTTTTGTGCCAAAGCAGAAATGACATCTCCTAGGGAAGATAACGACTTATTTATATGTTGTGCCTCTTTCAGTCTATCTCCTGTCACCTCAGAGCGGTCTACTCTTTCACTTCCAGCGAGATCCACCAAATTAAGACTACTACGCATGGATGAACCACTCTTTATATCCATCCCACGAACATGAACAGTGACAACGCTGTGCACGTATTTTAGTTAATTTATTAGTGTATACTATAGAAAAAGCCCCCATCATAAAATGAAAAAAGAGAAGATATGTACTTTAAACTACAAAGTATAGAGATGAACTCTTAAAAGTTGTTATAGGTAACCTGTGTGATCGACTGCTTCTTTCATTTAGGGCAGTGGAACCTTTTGCTCGATTTCTTAATCCAATATCCATCAAATCTAAGACATCAGAGGTCCTGTTTACTGGATGCATGCTCGCTTCAGGAACAACTAAACCGTTAGGTTGGGAGGCGGATACTATCCCAAGTGTGTGCAAATCAAGGAAAACAGTTAACGAAAATCATGTTATATGCAAGTCGGAGATGGTCTTCTGGTAATTATTGTAAATGTAAGACAAAGCAGTATCAGCAAAGAGGAAGGAAGGATATTTCTTTTGTGAACTATCACTTGAGAGTAAGTCACGAACTTGTTCGTTATATATTTCTATCATTTGAACTGTAATTTCATATGTGAAGGTGCTCCCTCTCATTTGAGAAATTCTGAAAAGATCATTTAAAGCTCGATAATTGACACCCAAATTCTCCTCAGTCGCTTTGTCTGGGCCAGTCTGGAGGTCAATTTAATTTGACATCAGGAAAGTGAAACAAATATATACACATATCTAACAAAATTATATACAGAAGTTCTTACCATGGTGTATGTTTTTCCTGATCCAGTCTGACCATAGGCAAATATACATACATTATATCCATCAAGCACAGACTGTATCAAGGGCTGAATATCCGAATAAACCTCAGCTGTAAAGAGTTGGAACGGTGAATTCATTTTAGAGTTCATTATATATGCTGAACCGAGATAAAAGAATTACTAATTAAGATCCGCAATTATATGGAGGAATGTGAAAACCTTGTGTTGCAGCTGGACTGTAGACCTTATTAAACTTGAAAGACCTATGGCCTTCCTTTCCTTGTTTGGAAGGATTTACAACAATAAGCTCCCCATTTTCTCCAATGTATTCAACAACTGATTGTTTTTCCTTTTGTCCACGAAGGAATGGCCTAATCCGACAATATACTCTGATATTTCCTAATTGAAAAATAACCATAAGTAAATAAAAAGGACAGGTAATAAATTTCAGTCCTCAATATTATCGCACCTTTTAGCTCCTGCACCTCATTGTGCAGTTTGCGATTCTCAGCAAGGACTGTGGAGTAGTGTGCAGCTGCATGTCCTAGTGCTCTAACTTTTTCACCTGCAATTGAAATTTGGTTCCATAAGGAAAATCCATTTAAGTCAATATTAAAACTAGTGCTGATATCTTATACTTGTAATGCAATCAATAAACGACGTTATTATAACACTTCAAGCAGCTGAACTGACCTAGTTGATTGAATTCCTCTGCATAGCTCTTTTGTGTTTTTACAACTTCTTGCCTTATTGACTGAGAAGAAAACCTTAGTTCCTGAACATTCATCGAGGTTCAAGTCACACGTGCTACAACACTGACATTTCAGAAAAAGATAGAAATAAAAGAGATCAAGCATACACGAAGTGCGCCTAGCTGGAATTCTGTAAATATTTGGTAGATATGCTCCTTTTTGGTCCAATCCTGAGATTTTTCTTGAGAAAATGTCTCAAGTTCCTTTATCCTATTTCTTGATTCTGTCAAAAGGCTCGTCGCCTCCTTCAACTTCTCCTCGAGCTCTTTTTGGGCTTCTGTAGCCTTTTTGTCCATTTCTAGGGTGTGTTGTTCATATGATTTCTTAGATATTTCCATTTCTTGCTTCAAAGCTGCGATTTCTTGCTTATGATCTTCCTTCTCTTTCAACTCATACGATTTCTTAGCTATTTCCATTTCTTGCTTCAAAGCTGCGATTTCTTGCTTATGATCTTCCTTCTCTTTCAACTCGTACGATTTCTTAGTTATTTCCATTTCTTGCTTCAAAGCTACGATTTCTTGCTTATGATCTTCCTTCTCTTTCAACTCATACGATTTCTTAGCTATTTCCATTTCTTGCTTCAAAGCTGCAATTTCTTGTCTATGATCTTCCTTCTCTTTCAATTCATATGATTTCTTAGCTATTTCCATTTCTTGCTTCAAAGCTTCGATTTCCTGTTTGTGATTTTCCTTCTCTTTCAATTCATATGATTTCTTTACTATTTCTAGTTCTTGCTTCAAAGCTGCGATTTCTTTTCTATGATCTTCCTTCTCTTTCAATTCATACGATTTCTTAACTATTTCCAGCTCTTGCTTCAAAGCTGCGATTTCATGACCGTGATCATCCTTCTCTTTCAATTCATAGGATTTCTTAGCTATTTCCAGCTCTTGCTTCAATGCTGCAATTTGATCATCCTTCTCTGTCAATTTAGGCACATCCTGCTCCTCGTTTTTCTTTTTCTCCTCCATTTTGTTTTTCTCATTCTGCATGTGATTTCAAAAAACAAGGAATAGTAAAATTAAAGATTGTTGAAAAGAATGGTGACAGCTGAAATTTTTTAGGAGTATCTAGTCTTTGACATCATATTCTTTGCAATCAATAACAAATTTTACTTGACACAATTAACGAACAAATTCTAGGAGAAACTTGTAATCATAAGCAAAGAGATTGTTAATCTAAGCAAGTAATGATAATGTCCGCAACCTCTGCACCATCCCACAAGCAAAAGCCAACAAATGGGAGAAAGCATAGGTGGTTTAATGCCCAGGATATCAGTTTTGTATGATTTATAGAGTTAAATGTCACGGGCTTAACTTTTTCCGTACGCTAGCGGCACCAAACTGCCCGTGCGGCATCTGTACTCACCCCGCACTACAGGCAATCCTTTCCTTTTCCCAGGTCTTCTAGCACGATCCTGTGCCTGTGGTGGAGCTTGCCCAAGGGGCTTACTCCAACTGTGCCGCCCATATGATGTCTAGGCTCATAGCCTTGACTAGCTGTGGCGCTTCTCATCTGTTGGATCTTATCCATGCGCACACCTGGGGTTGGCAAAGGACACATACGTCCTCGCCTAGCATTGAGCAACGCTCTCCCGTGAACTGTCTAATGCTCAAGCTTGGAACTCGCCTCGTGCATCCGCACCCAGCTTGTGCTTCGCCAGAGTAGGACAACCTTTAATCCTTGGCCTTTGTCATGTGCATCTTTCGTAGCATGCCTGCCTTTGTCTTATGGCATCACCAATCATAGCCCTCGCGACATACTTCCATCCCGCATAGTGCAGTGTCGCCCCACAACTGCACGTCTAGGCCTACGGACCTTTGCTCGCCTAGCTGAACCCAAGCTAAGCTCACAAGTCGACACATGAGGCCCCTGAGAAAGGTGCGTCAAGTATCCAATCGGCACGGAGGTCTTCATCCATCATTTCAATAGCCCGCAGGGCATAACCGTCCCACATGTCAAGCCTCCAGTACCCGTTTGGTGCCCAACGCGAGCCCTAAGGCGTCGCGCCGTCCATAGAGTTCCCAAACTCGTATGGATACCTTAGACACTCCTTTGAGATGTCCAGGCAGGCCCTTGAGGTTCTTCCCCAAGGTAGCTCACTTGGTGCGGCTGACTGGCAGCACGCACGGGAGAGGCAGGCTGAGCTTCAACACCTATACCCCCCTTATATATGCTTAAAATTAAAAAGCCCAAGATTCAACAATCGTTTAGTTCTGGCCAGAGAATCATAATGGCTCTCCTTCGAGCATATATAAGGGCATACTAGGAACAAGGCCTACGACCGAGATGCCTAGATTCCCGCTAAGTCTCTTGGCACACTTAGGATATGCAACACAACATGTCCTGATGGTTGTTGCCTCATACATAGTCCTTTTGCCGGATGTTCCTTCACAATACTTTGTCAGTGCACGCCGCCTACGCGACTGACATTCGTCCTGGTACATTGTAGCACGCAGAACTCATGGATGACATTACCCCCAAAATGCAGGGTGTGACATCCTCCCACACTTAATCTGTCATCGTCCCCGATGACACAACAATGCCCACGATAACCCGGAGTCTGCCCCCTCAGGGATGTGCACCGGCTCCCTTAATCTTTGTGGGTCGGACTTCCTCAAAGTCCTTCTCAAAATGGAGTCGTGCCCCTTGCACTTCTCCCCCAAGTATCTTCCAAGTGTGCCTTCTGCAATGCACCTCTTATCGGTGTTCGCTCGGAAAGTGCCTCCGCACTTGCACCCTCTGGTGTCTAACTTTGTGGCGACCCACACTAGTCAACCACACCATGACCCTCACGGCCTTCATACGTCCGAAGCTCTTCTCTCAATGGTAAGCACATCAGCGTGCTTAGACGTAGCTCGCGCAGTTCAGCAACTCGCGCAGCCCTTTTCTCGCCCTCATTGCCTTGGAAAGTTTAGTTCACTTCAGGACTCACAATTCTGTACCAGCGCCTCTGCATAGGCGGATCCTCCCACACTCAAGGTGGAGGATACTTCTTAATGTACCTGCCCCCTTTTGGCATATCAGCTCGCTCTTTGGGACGTACTCTTGGTGAGTATGGCATTCTCAAAGTTATAGCCTCGCCGCATTCAAGAACAAAGCTCTTTGTTTTCCAACTGTCACTTCCTCAGCAAGTACCCAATGCTCCCGGTAGTACCTCGTACTCACTCTATAGACAAGAACCCTCTCGGTTCTGCTAGCACGGCTTCCCGGTTCGGTGTGCCTCGCACATGGCCCCATCTCAATGGTCCTCGATCATTCGCTGTACTCCTTTCTAGAATGACACCTTCTAACTTGGAATCCTGCTCAATTCAGGAGCTTCGATATTTCCTTCGAATTCGTCTCCTCACCTTGGCAATTCAGCACAATGCCTCTCCATCAAATGGTTCGGCTCTTTTCCACAATCTTGGTGGCTGACTCCACCCCATTGTGACACACATGCACTCCCGCTAAGAAGCCTAGTATAGGTCCTTCTTTGTGGTTGTTAAGGGACTCTCCTGCCATTCATCGCAACCCTTGATATGGCTAGGTACATCTCAATGCCCTTAGGCAGTCCGCAAGTCTATCCCTCGGGAAAGACGCTCAACTGATGCGTTGCTCGCATCCTCGGCAAGATCTCTGCACGATCATGCCCTTTGTTTATAGTCTATGGCTCACACTCTTTGCAATATGGCTGCACGACCTGGCAAACATGGCCCTTTCCTGACCACCCGACTCATCGGCAAATCATCATATTCAACTGAAGCACAGACTTACGAAAGAAACTGGGCTTGTCCATTTCCTTCGTCAAAATGGCCAACAGCTCCAACTTGCTGCTTAACATGAACAAAAACGCCTCAACCTGACAAGCTTCCAATGCTACTGAACCCTCATGGTTCAAACGGTATTCAACCCGCGCAAGGAACACTTTCAGTCCGTTTGACATTCCTTACCATGCCTTGCTTAGCAAAGCTGCTAACCAACTGTTGACAGAGTTTCTGACACACTGTCGGATCATCACAATCAAGACAATTGAGCTTCTGCTAATCGTCTGTCCCTTCTTGTGGAACTATCTCAACAGCATCGCACAATGGCTCTCTTTTCAAACCAAATGTGCCTATATAGATTCCTCTGAAAACAGCACCCGCTGTACGGAAAACATCCCTTACGATATCTCAATCAAATTAGGATGCCCTAAAATCACCTCCCAAGACACAGACGATGGCGGAAACAGCGACTATGAAATGGCCTGATTCTGTAGATCGAAGTTCATGGCTGACAATGCACATTCTAGCTATAACTCACGCAACCGATCCCTTCTTAGACTAGTAGTATCGGGTTCTCGATCTCTGGTGGCATATGAACATCAATCTCTGCTTCAATATGATCTCCACACTGACATCCAAAATGCACTTGCCATCTCAACTTCTGCTTAGATATCATTTGTCATGGCAGAATATGGCCTAACATTGCTCTGATACCACGTGTCATGGGCTTACCTTTTTCCGTAAACTAGCGGCACCAAACTGCTCGTGCGGCGCCTGTAGTCACCCCGCACTACAGGCAAGCCTTTCCTTTTCTCAGGTTTTCTAGCACGATCCTGTGCCTGTGGAGCTTGCCCAAGGGGCTTACTCCAACTGTGCCGCCCGTATGATGTCTAGGCTCATAGCCTTGACTAGCTGTGGTGCTTCTCATCTGTTGGATCTTATCCATGCGCACACCTGGGGTTGGCTAAGGACACATACGTCCTCGCCTAGCACTGAGCAACGCTCTCACGTGCACAGTCTAATCCTCAAGCTTGGCACTCGCCTCGTGCATCCGCATCCAGCTTGTGCTTCGCCAGAGTAGGACAACCTTTAATCCTTGGCCTTTGTCATGTGCATCTTTCGTAGCATGCCTGCCTTTGTCTTATGGCATCACCAATCATAGCCCTCGCGACATACTTCCATCCCGCATAGTGCAGTGTCGCCCCACAACTGCACGTCTAGGCCAACGGACCCTTGCTCGCCTAGCTGAACCTAAGCTAAGCTCACAAGTCGACACATGAGGCCCCTACGAAAGGTGCGTCAAGTATCCAATTGGCACGGAGGTATTCATCCATCATTTCAATAGCCCGCAGGGCATAACCGTCCCACATGTCAAGCCTCCAGTGCCCGTTTAGTGCCCAACGCGAGCCCTAAGGCGTCGCGCCGTCCATAGAGTTCCCAAACTCGTATGGATACCTTAGACACTCCTTTGAGATGTCCAGGTAGGCCCTTGAGGTTCTTCCCCAAGGTAGCTCACTTGGTGCGGCTGACTGGCAGCACGCACGGGGGAGGCAGGCTGAGCTTCAACACCTATACCCCCCTTATATATGCTTAAAATTAAAAAGCCCAAGATTCAGCAATCGTCTAGTTCTGGCTAGAGAATCAGAATGGCTCTCCTTCGCGCATATATAAGGGCATACTAGGAACAAGGCCTACGGCCGAGATGCCTAGATTCCCGCTAAGTCTCTTGGCACACTTAGGACATGCAACACAACATGTCTTGATGGTTGTTGCCTCATACATAGTCCTTTTGCCGGATGTTCCTTCACAATACTTTGTCAGTGCACGCCGCCTACGCGACTGACATTCGTCCTGGTGCATTGTAGCACGCAGAACTCATGGATGACATGACCCCCAAAATGCAGGGTGTGACATAAAGCACACAAAAGAGGAGGAAATAAAAGGCAGAGAATGCAAACGTATAGCCCAACATACTGAATATTGAGATAGCAATGCGGCAGAGGAAGCCAAGGAAGGGGAGCCTTGGCGTAACTGGTAAAGTTGCTGCCATGTGACCAGGAGGTCACGGGTTCGAGCCGTGGAAACGGCCACTTGCAGAAATGCAGGGTAAGGCTACGTACAATAGAACCTTGTGGTCCGACCCTTTCCCGGACCCCGCGCATAGCGGGAGCTTAGTGTACCGGGCTCTGCTGAAGCTGGTTCATGACAATCTGAAATGCAGAAGAGTAGAATGTGTAAAGTTAGAAACAAGGGAATAAGATAAAAGTCACAGACTTTGGAACTTTTCCTAGATGGGAAGTCCATAACTACCTGTGTCTCTTCACTAGTCCCAGTTGCAAGGGCTTCTAAGACTCTGATCCTCGACTGGTATTTCTCTTCACGAGTCTTATATAGATTGTTTTGCTGCAGACATTGAAAGAAATATTATATGAACCATATTTGCTGAAAAGAGAAATTGAGAAGACAGTAGCTATATATTATACCGTTCTAAGATGTTCCGCTTGAGTGGATATCCGACGCTCAATTTCTTGCACCACTTTTCTCAATAGGCATGCTACACGCTGACAGATTAGATAACCAACTGATGTTAGAGCATGTAAAACAGAAATTCTATGAATCGACATGTGTATTTCAAGTGCGCACTTGAGGTATCTCGCCATTCTTCCGCTCAATGCTTTCATCAAGAATCCCATTGACAACACTTAGAAGTGACTGTGTTGGGGCAATCTGAAAGCAATAAAAAATGAAATAAGGGAAAATAAGTATAAATTCAAATCCCAGGTATAGAATTTATCCAACTAACAAGATAGCTTCATTGACAAAAAGGGACTTGTTACTAACATCCAAACTGTTAGATTTCATCATCTCTGAAATCCTTGCAGCAGGAATTTCAGTGTGGCTCCCTTGTTTAAGCTGAAATACTTCGTGGAACTTATGTCCGACGTGATCTAATAATGCAGCTGATGGCTCTACAAAGCTCAGAAAGGAAAATTTAACAGCCTGAGAAAGGGAACATGGCTTGTGGAGTAGCGAGAGCAAACAGTAAGATCACTACTTTAACAATGGATTAACTTTTTAGTACAAAGAAGAACACAGTATGATTGACGGTTCCAAAGCAAATATCAAACAATTGTGCCATGTTTTAACATTCCATTATGTCGCATAGTACATGGTCTGTAATCTACACAGCAATTCAGCTGAAGCAGTTCAATATAGTTATGGCCCTTTTTCTCTTTAAGGGGGAGATTTTGGTTTTGGTTATTGTATTTGGGAGGAGAATGAAACAACAATACCTGCCATTACAGGACTTCTCAATGCACGCTGGAATTTTGAATCTGATCCGTTCTTCTGTCGTTCTCCTGGGGATGGAGAAGACTGAGTTCTTGAAAATTCTTCTCTGTATAAGACATCGCCACATCCAAAATTTTCTCCCAACAATTTCCATCTTCTATTTGCATCAGCTCCAGAGTTACCAGATAATACTGTGCTAGAATTGTGTCCTCCATTATTCGGCGTAAATTCTGCCTGAAGTGTTAAAAGGCACCCCACCACTATTTTCATAGAACCCTGGACAATATATCAGTGTCAGAATATCGAAAACAGAAAATAGATGGCACTTAGATTGCATAAAGGTAAAGACGGATAACACTTTTAATTTGTGCATATGGAAAAAGTTATACAACAAATATGGCCGGCAAAATTAAGACATACAAGCACTTTTGATAATCATAAGTAAACATGAAGTGATCAATATATGTTAGTTAGGACACGACCACGAGTTTATAGTCATGCTATTAACCTGTTCCAAATCTGGTGCCTGAAACCTGGGCATGCCCATTTCATCCATAGCTGACAAAAACCTTTTAATGTTTTCTGATCCCACCTCCGGAGAGTGTTCTGAACCACCACACTAGAACAAACAATACAGTTAAATCAACAAAAGAAAACCATCCTTACTCCTTCATACTGTAAAATCAAAAACGTTATAAACTACCTCTGCTCTCAGCTTATTCAATAATTGGCATAAGACGGTACCATCAACTAAGAAAGCTCGCAAATCCTCATCAGAAGCATTTATTGGGAAACGCAAGTGAGGAAGAACATTGTTTAACCATTCTACCAATTTTGCTCGTTGCCTAGCTGTAGAAACAACAAATTAGAAGAATTAGCCAGAACAAGAGTTTGATCAGAATTACATGGATTGAATGTTTTGCCCATTCAGCCTCACCATTATTACTTGACAAAGGCTCAAAGACGTCCCCACTACTGTAAACACTTGAGCTGCTCCGTCTACCATAATCTTTGGCAACGCGATCCAGAATGGAATTCATGATAGTGCAACATCTGATTCAGAAGATATCTGCATCACGGAGAAGCAGAAATGTTGGATCAATATATCTCTGGACTAATAAAGCAGAAAGAGTTGCATCTTGTTCTAAACTTTTAAGACTAAGTCGTGCATTCCTAAAATTACTACCTATAGTCTCCAAGTGAATAAATGGATCAAGACATATAATGTGTTAATGTAGTAGGGAGGAGGGGCAAAATGACAGGAAAAAGGAAAAAGAGCGAGAAAAATTTATGAGGAACAAGTATATGCATTCTACAAGTCTTTCCAAAAGCCTAATGAGACAGACAATTCAAAAGAATTCAAACTCTTGTAGTAGCTGCATTCTAGCACATAAATAAAAAATAGTTAGAAGAACCAAAACCAAATACTGATTACTCTACATTAACTGATGCAAGCTGGGTGAAAAAACCGACTAGATGAATTTGCAGAATTCAAAAATTAAAATGAGTTGGTCACACAATCTAACATGATATAGAGTCGGAGTTCCTGGACTCGAGTCTCGTCACCAAACATAAGCCAAAAAAAAAAAAAAAGTATCACGCAGTTGGCGGAAGAAAAAATGACTCGGGGCAACTTGTGAGGTGTACATGATAGGACCAAACCTATTGTTGTATGTGAAAGTAGACAAAACAAAAGAAAGAAAAATCAAAAAGAGATGAAAATATGATGTAAGCGCTTACATCGACATTCTTATGATGTAAGCGCTTACCTCGACATTCTTATGATGTAAGCGCTTACCTCTGCAGGGCATTCAAATGCCTATAAATAGGGGTCTACATTTTCATTTGTAGATCATCCCAAAACTTCTTCTTTCTCTCTTCAATTAATAAACAGCTATTCTTTGTGTGGCCGTGGAGTAGGCAAAAATTACCGAACCACGTAAATCTTGTCCTGTCTTGTGCAATTTATTGCTTTTCTCTCTTAAATATATGTTTCTTTCTATTAAATTGACACGCTTCCCAATAACTGGTATCAGAGCACAGACAGTGTATTTCTGGTAGAAAAATACAGTATTGGTGTAGGTACTATTCACAAGAATAGTGCGACATTATTGATCATCGTTACTATTCACAAGCACTATTCACATAAATTGTTTTTGTAAAAAATGGCATCGGAAGAAGGGAAGGTTAAGATTGACAAGTTCAATGGCAAAAGATAGGACTATTTGTACCAGAAAAAATTACACTTACCTCTGACCGAGGTGAAACCGGAGACTATGTCCAAAGCGGATTGGGATCTATTAGATCGCCAAGCTCTTGGTGTGATTCGTTTGACGCTAACACGAAATGTGGCGTTTAACATCATTAACGAGAAGACCACTACAGGCCTGATGAAGGCGTTATCAAATATGTACGAGAAGCCATCTGCTTCAAATAAAGTCTATTTGATGCGTCGATTGTTCAACTTAAAGATGACAGAAGGTGGATCAGTCACGGAACATATCAATGAGTTTAATATAATATTAACTCAGTTGAGTTCTGTTAATATAACAATTGATGACGAAATCAGGGCGTTGATTCTACTATCATCTCTACCGGAGAGTTGGTCTGCAACAGTAACTGCAGTTAGCAGTTCATCAGGAAGTACCAAACTCAAATTGAATGATATTAGAGACTTGGTTCTAAGCGAAGATATTCGCCGAAGAGAATCAAGTGATTCCCCAGGATCTGCTTTTAGTACCGAAAGCAGGGGGAGAATCAACCAAAGAGGACAAAGTTATGATCGTGGCAGATCAAAGTCAAGGAGAAGAGGACAATCCAAAAATCGCAAGGACATTACTTGTTGGAATTGCGATAAAAAGGGTCACTACAATAGCCAGTGTAGAGAACCAAAGAAGAAGAAGGAAGAAAATTCAGCAAATGTAATTGCTGAACAAGTCGGTGATGCACTAATTTGTTGTGCAGACAGTCTAGTCGAATCTTGGATTTTGGACTCAGGTGCATCCTTTCACTCTACATCATGCAAAGAATTATTGCATAATTATATTGCTGGAAAATTTGGGAAAGTTTATCTAGCAGACGGCGAACCTCTCGAAATTGCCGGAAAAGGTGAAGTTCATATGAAGACTTCACAAGGCACGCCATGGAAATTGCAAAATGTACGACATGTTCCTGGCCTCAAGAAAAATCTAATATCTATGGGTCAGATTGACGGTGAAGGATATACAACAACATTCGACAACGGATCGTGGAAGAAATTTGGTTGTGGCACGGGGCTTCAAAAGGGGAACACTGTATGCAACTGCAATACACAGAGATACTATAGCAACAGTTGATCATGGTCGTGATACAACATTGTGGCACCGGAGGCTCGGGCATATGAGTGAGAAGGGAATGAAGCTTTTGGCATCCAAAGAAAAGTTGCCAAATCTAAAACATGTTGAATTAGGTTTGTGCGAAGATTGAATTTACGGGAAACAAAAGAGAGTTAGTTTCTCAAAGGTGGGAAGGACGCCAAAGAAAGAGAAGCTGGAACTAGTGCATACAGATGTGTGGGGACCAGCTCCTGTAACTTCTCTAGGAGGCTCACGCTATTATGTCACCTTCATTGATGATTCCACAAGAAAGGTATGGGTTTATTTTCTGAAAAATAAATCTGATGTGTTTGTTACCTTTAAAAGATGGAAAGCTGAAGTTGAAAATCAGACAAGTCTAAAGTTAAAATGTCTGAAGTCTGACAATGGAGGAGAGTATGATAGCCAAGAGTTCAAAGCATTTTGCTCGGAGAATGGGATCAGAATGATCAAGACAGTTCCTGGAACACCGGAACAAAATGGTGTTGCTGAGAGGATGAACAGAACCCTGAATGAACGAGCCAGAAGTATGAGAATACATTCTGGATTGCCGAAGTATTTTTGGGCTGAGGCTGTTAACACGGCAGCTTACCTCATAAATAGGGGACCCTCTGTACCGCTGAATTTTGAAATTCCTGAGGAGGTATGGACAGGAAAGGAGGTAACTCTCTCACATCTGAAATTTTTTGGTTGTGTTGCTTATGTGCATGTAAACTCTAATGATAGAGATAAGCTTGATCCTAAAGCAAAGAAATGTTTCTTTATTGGCTATGGTGATGATAATTTTGGTTATCGGTTTTGGGATGATCAGAATAGAAAGATCCTAAGACACAGGAATGTCACATTTAATGAAAATGTGATGTATAAGGACAAGCTTGAAGTAGAACCAACCAACACCGGCAAACAGATAATGTCTGAAACAGTTGAGTTAGAAGAAATCTCGGAAAATGAAGTGGCTAGAGGGATTACAACTGATTCTGAAATTGATGATGAAGAACCAGAAGCCGAATTTGAAGAAGAACTAGAAGTCGAACCTGGATCAGAACCAGAACCGGAACCAGAGATAGAATCAAATGCATAACCAAATCTGGAATCAGGACCTGAATCAAATTCGGATTCTGTTACTCATGAACCTAAATTGAGGAGATCTAAAAGAGTCACGAATGCTCCAGATAGGTTAACTCTCTCTCTTCACTATTTACTTTTAACTGATGTTGGAGAACCAGAGCATTTTGTTGAAGCAATGCAGGTGATAAACTCTGATAAGTGAAAGCTAGCCATGAAAGAAGAGATGAATTCTCTTCAAAAGAATAAAACATGGATACTTACGGAGTTACCAAAAGGAAAGAAGGCATTGCAGAACAAGTGGGTGTACAGAGTCAAGGAAGAGCATGATAGTAAGAAGAGATACAAATCACGATTAGTAGTAAAAAAACTTTCAGCAGAAGGAAAGAATTGACTACACCGAGATCTTCTCTCCTGTAGTCAAATTAACTACTATCAGGTTGGTGCTAAGTATCGTAGCTGCAGAAAATTTGCATTTGGAGCAGCTAGATATTAAAACTGCTTTCTTGCATGGTGACCTTGAAGAAGACATATACATGAAGCAACCTGAAGGTTTTCAAGTTTATGGTAAAGAAAACCTTGTGTGTAAGTTGAAGAAGAGTTTGTATGGTTTGAAACAAGCTCCCCGACAATGGTACAAGAAATTTGATGGATTCATGCATAAAAATGGTTTCACGCGATGTGAGATGGACCATTGTTGTTATATCAAAAATCTTGATGAATCATATATCATTTTACTGTTGTGCGTTGATGATATTCTAATTGCAGGATCTAGCATAAATGAGATCAATTTGGTCAAGCAACAACTGGCGGAGGAGTTTGAAATGAAAGACTTAGGACCAGCTAAGCAAATGCTTGGGATGAAGATTAGCAGATATAGGTCGGAGGGAACCTTAAAGTTGTCTCAAGAAAAGTACATACAGAAGGTACTAAGCAGGTTCAGTCTTCACGATGCAAAGACCAGAAGCACTCCACTCGGAAGCCATCTAAATTTGTCAAAGGACCAATCACCTAAGACAGACGAAGAAAGGAAGTACATGTCCAAAGTTCTGTATGCTTCAGTTAGAGTTGTCAGCAGATACATGTCAGATCCAGGAAAGGAGCATTGGGAAGGTGTAAAATGGATATTGCGATATCTCAAAGGCACCTCATGTATGACACTTTCTTTTAAAAAGAGCAATATGATCTTATAAGGTTTTGCTGATGCAAATTTAGGCGGCGATCTGGATAGTCGAAAAAGTACTACGGGCTACGTGTTCACCTTGGGTGGTACTGCTGTTAGTTGGATGTCCAGACTTCAGAAAAGTGTTGCTTTATCTACCACTGAAGCAGAGTACATGGCAATCTCAAAAGCTGGAAAAGAGATGATTTGGCTCAAGAATTTTCTTAAAGAGCTAGGTAAAGAGCAGGACAATTGTGAGTTTTTCAGCGATATCCAGAGTGCAATTCATCTTGCCAAGAATCCAGTGTTTCATGCAAGATCGAAGCATATCCAGTTGAGGTATTATCATATCCGAGAGTTGATAAATGATGGAACTCTTTCCCTGCAGAAGATACCAGGATCAAAGAACCCATCAGACATGTTGACCAAAGTTGTCGGTGTTGACAAACTGAGGCTGTGCACTGCCTCAGTTAGCCTTCAAGACTGATAGCGTGAAGGCGCCACCAGAGAATAGCAAATCTTTTTTTTCTTTCTTGATGTAACATAGGTTTGAGGGGGAGGTTGATAGGACCAAACCTATTGTTGTATGTGAAAGTAGACAAAACAAAAGAAAGAAAAATCAAAAAGAGATGAAAATATGATGTAAGCGCTTACATCGACATTCTAGTGATGTAAGCGCTTACTTCGACATTCTTATGATGTAAGCGCTTACATCGGCATTCTTATAATGTAAGCGCTTACATCGGCATTCTTATAATGTAAGCACTTACATCGGCATTCTTATGATGTAAGCGCTTATCTCGGCAGGGCATTCAAATGCCTATAAATAAGGGTCTACATTTTTATTTGTAGATCATCCCAAAACTTCTTCTTTCTCTCTTCAATTAATAAAGAGTTATTCTTTGTGTGGCCGTGGAGTAGGCAAAAATTGTCGAACCACGTAAATCTTGTCTTGTCTTGTGCAATTTATTGCTTTTCTCTCTTAAATATTCTTTTCTTTCTATTAAATTGACACGCTTCCCAATAATACATTGGTAGAGCTATAATAAATTAAATAAAAGTTCCATTTGTCTAACAAATTAAACTTTCAGATGAGGTGGTCACACAATAACCTAGCAATTGCATAAGTAATCAACCATTCTGCTGCAATTTATTCAACCAATTGGACGCAATCAGACTATCAGAGAGGTCATTTGCCCAAAATTCAGGACAAAAAGAAGATTAACTCAACTCAGTAAAATCTTTCACCGCTATTTCTTTTCCGAGATTCGACTGCATGGAGGTTTACATACAAACGTGGAATCAAGAACACAAAAGTTCCAGAATATAAAAACAAGCATTATCAAGCACAACACATAAAACAAATCCACGAATGAAATTAAATGGCTAAAAATCAGCGTATGAAGTAGAATTTCAAACAGAAAAAAAGACTGAAATTGTGAAGAAAAGAAGAACCTGTGAAAGTGCGGAAAGGCATAACCTATGCACGTTCTTATTTATTTAGAGAATATCAACGGGAGTAAGCGTCATTTTGCTATTATCAATAGTGTTTAATTTTTTTGTAGTGAGATGATGTTAGTATTGGAGCTTTCAGTTAGTATTGAATTCCGTGTACCGTTGGATTTCTGTGGAAGGTTGAAAACCTGACCGCTTTCCGTTTAAGTAGGAGATCTCAGGTCCATCTTTTTCCTATTTTTATCTTTTTGATTCAGTGCTGATAGGGGTTCGTTATATGATCTTAACAATAATTAATCACCTTATGAGATGTTACTTTTCTGTTTTCACAAGAATTAATTTGTTGGATTTTTCTTTAAGTGACAAACTTACATACGAAAAATTCTATTCTTTTATTATGAGCCAACAACGAAAGTTACACAAAAATTATTTCAGCTTTTGACATATGGATAGTGGGTACATTTTTACACTTATAAATACAATTTTTTTTGTAGTGCTCTGTGCGAGAAATTTGTAGGTGGTTCAACTGATTCACCATTTGAAGAGGAATGTCATGGCAATATACAGAAAGTTCATGCTCGGAGAAACAATTCAATAGTATGGTGAGAGTTATTAGGAGATGCGATCAAGAAAATAAAGGCCATCATAGAAAAGAGCAATCATTAAGTTAGGGGTTAATTTCACTCATGGTCGTTCAACTATGTTTCGATTTCACTAAAGTCACTCAACTATTTTTTATCACTTAAAAAGTAACTAAACTTTCACATTGTTACTTAAAAGTCATTTTGGCTCAAAACCCTACCATAAATATGGCATGGCATAAGATTTAATGAGAAAAATTCAAAAATAAATACCACATAAGCTTAAATGGACCATACCCACTTTAGATCCATTTCTCCCTTAATGTGATTTGACCCATAACCCAAATGGATTTCAGATGGGCTCTCTGGGAAATTTTATCATTCATGTTGGGACATTATTAAGGAGGACCTATTACTAATAGTTGTTGATTTCTTTGCAGGTAACCAAATTCCAAAGGCAATTACTCACACCTGTCTGACCCTCATTCCTAAAGTGGACAACCCTTAAGCTTTTAATGAATTAAGGTCTATTAGCCTTAGCAACTTCTCCTGCAAGATTATCTCTAGCCTAGTGAAGATCCCTCCTTATCAAACAGGTTTTATCAAGGGAAGATCCATCATTGAAAATATTATGATGACTCAGGATATGGTCCATAATATTACAAAGCCCTCCATCCATGGGAATGTGGTTTTTAAAAGTCGATATGACTAAAGCATAAGACAGAGTCTCATAGGAATACTTGTGCAATATTATGAAGCATTTTGGGTTCAACGAAGCCTGGATTGATATTATCTGGAGGCTTATTTCTTATGTCTGTTACTCTGTAAATATCAATGGAAGTAGACATGGATTTTTTAATTCTACTAGGGGTTTAAGATAAAGGGATCCTCTATCTCCCTCTCTCTTTCTTATTGGGTCTGAACTTCTATCAAGATTAATGGTATCTTTAAACAATCACGATTTTATTCCTTTTTCGATTGATAATTGTAGTCCTATTATATCTCACATATGCTATGTTGATGATACAATTTTGTTTTCCTCAGCTGAACCGGAATCCTTGAAGATGTTGATGGACAAGATGGAGACTTATGAAAATGATGGGCTTAAGGTCTCTTAGTCTATGTTTTGATGATCTAACAAACTTTCTGTATAGAACCAGATAAAGGACTTGATGCATGCCTGGTACAATAATTCAGCAAATGGACTCAAGATAATCTGGGCAGTGTGCCTTTGGATTCACAAGAACCAGTTTAGGGACCCGATCCCTTGGTGTTTCCCTAGAAGTATAAGTCAACTCTACAATTGGAAAGCAACTACAGAAAGTGACTGTCTGTAACTGTGTACACTACAGTGAAGGAGTCACTTCCCATTAGGAAGAGGCGTATACCAACCAAGAATAGACATCATCCTTAGGATGTCTTTTCAAGTATAAGAACATGGTATAAGGCAACAAGATATTTACTTGAGCATTTAGTGATATTCTCTTAAACATTGAAGATCTGATCCAGCATTGAAGTCACAAGTGTGTCAAGAATAAGAAGATAACTCCACTACGGACCAATTTCACTATGAGTCTATGTGTGTCCTTAGTTGAGTTGTAATCTTGTGTTTTGTTCTTCATTGTAACTCATATCTTTCTTTCTTAGAAGCTTTGTTTTAGGAAACTCAAAATCATAAACCAACTGAGTTTGTGTTGTGACTAGAGTTAGTCATAGGTTGAAGTCTTTGTAACTAGTGAGTGACAAAGTGGTTTGTGATAAGTGTATTACAAGTTAAAGTAATTGAAGTCTTTGTAATAGAGTCATTACAAAGTGACTTGTAATAGTGTAGTTACAAGTTAGTGAAGTTGAAATCCTACCAGTGTAGGTCGTAGTTTTTGTCCCCTTGAGTTGGGATTTTTCCACGTAAAAATCATGTGTCTCATTTACATACTATTTCAGTAGTTAGCACTGAGGGAACTAATATAGGACCAGGTCCCTATATAGTTGGTGGACTCATATAAACTATCAATTGGTATCAGAACGAGTTCTTTCTAAAAGGTTAACACCTAGAAAGGATCTTAATGGCTGCTCCGCCTAACTTTGAGGAAGGATAATCAACCTACAGGCCTCCTAGATTCAATGGGCAGTATTACGGCTGGTGGAAGACTCGTATGCATGATTGTATAATGGCAGAAGACTCCGAGATGTGGGACATCATTTGTGATGGTCCACATGTTCCTATGAAGAAAGTTGGAGACTCTAGAGTGATGGTGCCGAAAACCAGAAAAGAATACAACGATATTGATAGAAAAGTTGTTGAGAAGAACTTTCGTGCCAAGAAGATCTTGGTATGTGGTATAGGACCTGATGAGTACAATAGAATCCCAGCATGTCAATCTGCCAAGACAACATGGGAAGCATTGCAAATGGAACATGTAGGAACTACTCAGGTTAAACAGTCTAAGATTGACATGCTCACCACCGAGTATGAGCTTTTCAAGATGAAAGATGATGAGTCTATACAAGATATGCACACTAGATTCACATCTATCATAAATGAGCTTTATTCACTTGGAGAAATTATTCCTAGAAACAAGCTTGTAAGGAAGATTCTTAGTGTTCTACCTAGCTCTTGGGAGAGTAAGGTGAATGCCATTAGTAAAGTTAAAGATTTACAAGCTCTAACCATGGATGAGCTGATTGGAAATTTGAAGACATATGAGATGAAAAGAAAGAAAGACAGTGAAAGAAGAAAGCCAAAGAAGGAGAAGAACCTGGTACTCAAGGCTGAAAACAATGACTCAAGTGAAGAAGATAGTGATATGGCCTATCTCACTAAAAGATTTCAAAAGATGGTTCGAAGAAATGGTGGTATACCAAAGAGGGGCAGTTCAAGTAAACCAAGGAACTATGATCTCTGTCACAAGTGCAGAAAGCCAGGGCATTTCATCAAAGACTGCCCACTTCTGAAACAGGAGCATTACAAACACAACTCTAACAAAGCAGCAAAAAGGAACCTGGTTCCTAACAAATGATTCAGCCGAAAAAGTGCAGTTGACAATGTTGTGAAGCAAGCTCTTACTACATGGGGAGACTCCTCTAGTGAATCAGAAGGGGAACCAGATGCAGAAAACAGTCCCATGATGGCAGTGGAAAATGAAGCAAAGGAATATGATTCATTGTTTGCACTGATGGCTCAGTCCAATGATGATGAAGAGGATAACAATGATGAAGTAAATTTTAGGGATGTTTAGAGAAATCTGAAGTCCTACTCTTCTAAGAAATTAATGTCATTAGCAAATGTTCTAATTGATGCATATTATAGTCTTGGTAATGATAAGGATGCCCTGGCCATAGAGCTAGGAGATGTTGAACAATCTAGAGATGATCTGGTGGTCTGTGTGGTTTATTTAAATGAGACCATGGGCAGTTTTGAAAAAGAAAAAGAAGTTCTAACTGAAAAAATAAATAGTGTAGAAAATAAGAGAGATGACTTGATGGTAGTGGTTGTTGACTTGAAGGAACTCATAGAGAACCTTAGCAAAGAAAAGAATACTCTAGCATAGAAAATTCCAGCTACTGAGCAAGAAAGGGATGACTTTTTGGTGATAATCACAGGCCTAGAGGAAACAATTGAGAGACTCAAATCAGAACATAGGCCTGTAAGTATTGAGAAAGGGAATGAAGTAGCTAGTGAGACACACATCAAGCTTGAAAAGGAATTAAATGATGTGAAAACTAGTCTATGTGGTGAACTTGAGAAATATAGGCAACTTCAAACTGAATTGGAGAAAGTAAAAATTGATCTTGAAAAATCTCTTAAGTGGACCTGGTCCTCAGATGTTGTCAATGCCATGTACTTCAACAATAGTGGACACAGGTAGGGAATTGGATTCCAAAAGGAGAAAAATCCTTACAACCCTCACAACAAGTATGTCACTATTTCTGATAACTGGTTTTGTACCCAGTGTGGGAAAAACGGGCACTTCAAAGAAAATTGCCAGGCCAGGGTTCAATCTGTTCAGAAAAACAAAGTGTTTGCTAAAAAAGTGACTACTAAAGGGGGGACCAGGTACCACTTGCAAAAATCCCGTATTGTCTGCATGGACTAGAAAAGCTCTTATCCACCACTTTCCTCATTACAAGGGACTCAAACTAGTTTGGGTTCCTAAATCTAACCCATAATTTATATGTGCAGGGAACAGTGAGAGGAAGCGGACTGTCATAGATCATGGACAGTGGATGCTCAAAGCACATGACTGGAAACACCATGGATTTTCTCTCACTAAAAGCCCTGCAGGGAGGGAATGTATCCTTTGAAAATGGAAAAAAGGGGTACATTCTCGGTGTCAGAAAGGTTGGAAAGTCTCTTTCACACTCAATTGAGTACGTGTACTATGTGGATGGCCTGAAGTACAGTCTCTTGAGTGTCTCTAAAATCTGTGATAAAGGGAACAAAGTAGAGTTCTTGTCTAAAGTGTGCACAATTACTAATCTTGTAACTGGTGAAGTGGTTTTAGTAACCAAAAGATACAAGAACATCTATGTTGTTGATTTTGAATCTCTGTAAGCTTGTGATATGATCTGCTTGAAGGCAGTGGATAATGATGCATAACTGTGGCATAGAAGATTGGGGCATGCAAGCTTCTCACTTCTGAATAAATTGATACAAAAGGACCTGGTTTGTGGTC